AAAACGTGGTCGGTTGCGCGGACATTCGCGCGTACGTTGCCTGCGTAATCTGGCGCGTCAGCGCCCTCGCTCACAGCGCGGCGTGCCGCCCTGGCGGCCCGCGTAAGCCTTGACGTAAGACCGCTACGTCATCACCGTCGGTCGGTAAGACCCGCATGCACTCGAGGGGGGGAAAACCACCCGGACCGGACAGTTGGCGTTTACTAAACGGCACTGGGCGTTTATTAAAAACAGCCCTGCCTTGTTCGATTCCTTCTCTGGGCGCGTTTACTAAAGGCCTCGCGTGTCGGGGTGATTATTGTCGGGGTGGATTTTCGACCCTCTACGTACGATTCGCGCAAGGCACGTATTCGGCATTGTGTCCCGTCTTGTCCAGAGAAGTTGACAGGACTTATGATGTTCCAGCCTACTTTAGCCTTGATCACCAGCGAAAATTGCGAGCACCCAGAAAGCACCGAAGCTGGAGGGTGTTCACGTGTCGGGCCCTGTGAGGCGATCCTCGCTCGACACTGTTTCGATGCTCCCTCTGGGTGCTCGAAGTTATGTCGGGGATGTGGTCCTTAGGCACGATGGGAGCAACGTGAGACAGGACGCGCCTGCGCGGTCGTTCCGGCGCCGCCCCGCTGGGGCCCGAGGAGCCCAATGGGGAGGAGCTTTCGGCACTGGGCAACTTGCCCTCCGTTCTGCCGCCTCCCGGCCGGCGAGCGCGCAGGCCTGCGCGGACAGCTTCGCGATGGCGGCGTCCGCAGGGCAGGGGCCACAGGTGTCGGAGGCCTAGAGTTCAGTCGGGCCTGTCCCCCTACAGGGGGAAAGTTCAAGAATAATCAAAAAATAGTCTGGGGACGATTGCTCCAGTATGTTTGCCCATTTGGGGGGTATTTTTTGGGGGCACTTCCGATTTTCGCCCAACATCCCCCTGCAGGGGGGACGGCCCGACCTAAGCCTAGAGGTTGCTGCCCTTTTCCAGGCCTCCACTGGCGGGGCCCCGGGAGGGGCAACAGCAGGAGGAGTCGGGAGCCTTGAGACGGGGGTCCAACGCAAACGGGGGTCAGCCAGAGCGCCCCGACCTTGCAGGATCCTGCAGGGCCAGGGTCGCATTGACCCGGGCTTGGGTGCAGGATCCTGCAGGATCTTGCAGGATCCTTCGCATTGACCCGGGTTTAGGTGCAGGATCTTGCAGGATTCTGCAAGGCCTGACTGGCCCGGGTCTGGATTGACCCGGGTCAGAGGATCCCCGAAGGAGGCGGCGGCGGGCGTGCGGGGCGAGCGGGCGGGGGCGGGCGGGGGCGCGGCGCTTGGCCCGTGCTCGCCTTCGCGTTGCCGGGTCGTCGCAGGCCCGGTCGGCGTCGGGGGGTGGCGAAGTACAGAAGGGGCGTTGACCCAAGGAACCCTCAATGAGGAACGAGGCCCCTTTTCTCCAGAAGCTGAACTTCGATTTCCCTTCGAGAAACTGAGGAAAACCCAAGGCAAGCTGTGAAACACTCAAGGAACACGGAGCCCCTCCCCAACGAAAAGGGTTCCTTCTTCAGGACCCCTACTGTAGGAGAGGCGAGCGGAGACGCGGTCCGCCAGGAGGAGGCGGAAGAGGAGGAGGAAGCGCGAAGGGGAGTCAGGATCAGGGGCAATTTCAAGGTGGGGATCGGCTCACGCATCTACCCTTCATCGCCGATGGGGGCCTGGTGGGTCTCCCCGCCTAGGGCCGTGCGGTTTCGCTGTGTGGGACCCGATGCCGGTCTATGGGCGATACGGCAGGGGGAAGCAATCAGTGGACACTCCCCCGCTCCCCCAGAGTCAAAGTTGGCACTCGCGGGGGAGACTGCTGTCGGAGTGCACCTCATCAAACCCACCGCCAGCTTTGAACATGCGGGGGAAGGGGAGGCGTTGACCGATGAATGTGGCATGCGCGTTCGCTATTTGTCCGAGGCCTGCACATCGCCGATTCCAGGTCGACGCTTCTTGCCCTGAGCCCCTCGCGGAAGAGGCGGGGTGAGGGGCGGAGAACGCGCAGCGCGGCATGCGCCACGGATGCCCTGGAGGGCGTCGCGAGTTGCCCCTTAGCGGTAGGGCCACGCTTTCCAGGGCCCGAGCCAAGCGATGCTTTGGCGATGTCGTGGGCCCACTGGGTGAACGACAACAGAAACAGGGAGGATCGCCCTGGAAAGTTGGAGCAAGCGATCCGTCTGAGATCCTTGGAGACATGGCACGACGTCCGCTGGGCCTCGTGGGTTGTCTCGGGGACATGTTGGATACCCTGGAGGCGTGTGGGGCCGCCTTGGATGTCACGCTCGACCGTTTTGGAGGCCATCTGCGGCCGTTGTGGTGGTCGCAGGAGGCGTTATTGGAGCCATCTTGAGCGCAGAAGCCCAGGTGCGGGCGGGTTGGGCCGAGCCCCGTCTGGGAACTTGATGGGACGGCAAGACTCGTCTTCAACATCGGCGAGCACGGAGAGGGCGGCGGATCGAAGGCCCTTGCAGTCAAAAACCCTAACCCTCTACTATAGAGAATAAACCCCCAGTGATAATAAAGTTCGGCGGTCACGGAGTGATAATAAAAGTTGCCCACCAGAGGCCAGCATAAAGATGTGAACAGAGGAGCCAAAGCCGAGGATATCTTGAGACATCCTTAGCTTTTGGTCCTCTCTGAAACATCCTCAGCAATGGTTTGTTTCGCTTGAGACATCCTCGACAAATCTGTCGTTTCGCTTGAGACATCCTCGAAATAATTGTTTGCTGCGCTTGGGAGATCGTAGACAAACCTCTCGTCTCGCTTGAGGTATCCTCGAACAATTGCTTATTTCGCTTAGGACATCCTTGGAATCGTATTGTTTTTTTTGCTAGGGTCTCGCACACAAGCTCGGAACTGCTGAGACTGCTCGCAGTCAGAGGTTCATAACCTTGCTGTCGACAATAAACCGCAGCGATAATACAGTTCGGGGGGCCACGGGGAGAAAGAGAAATCTATGGAGAGATAAATTAAAAGAGAAAGAGAAACAGAGAGAGATAGAGAGAGGTTGAGAGGGACAAACAGAGAGAGAGAGAGAGAAAGAGAGAGGTGGAGAGGGAGAGAGAGACAGAGGGAGAGAGAAGAGAGGAATAGGAGGAGGTGGGCGAAGGAAAAATCCAAAGTTCAAAACTTATTAGACTTACTTTATAAACGCTTAATGGAAATTAAAATGTTCATCTGCTCGTGTAGGGTAGCTCATGTGCCTCGTTTTCCCAGGATAATCAACCCCAGCGATAATAAAGTTCAGGGGGCCAGGGGGAGGAGGAGAAAGAGAGAGAGAGAGAAAGAGAGAGAGAGAGAAAGAAAGAAAGAGAGAGAAACAGAGAAAGAGATATAGAGAGAGAAGAGATAGAGAGTGCGCTCGATGGCGAATTTTCCCAGTGATAATAAAGTTCAGCCTCCGCGCTCTCCGCCTACATTTGAAACCCTTCGAGGCCGACGATAATAAACTCAAACTACTTAAGGGGGGAGGGTACTTTATTATCTTCGTCATCGGGTTAACAAGGACGCGCGACTTTGCTCAGGGTACCCTTGCGTCCTTGCTCTTCCTTGCTCTTGCGTCCTTGGGGTTTTCGTCGTCCGCCGCCCCAAAAATCCCAACTTCGGCTTCCAAGGGTCTTGCGTCCGTACCGCGCGTCCTTATTAGGGTTTTTGACTGTACGGCGAACCATTGCTGCCCCTTGCCTTTGGAAACGTCGTGCTACGAGCCTCGCGGGGCCGTCTTGGACTGATTTTCGGGGGGCGGAAGCCCGAAAAGGCGAGCGCGCCAACCTCGCTGAAACACAATAGGATCATCAATGATTCGGGTTTCCTGGAGATCCTCTTGGAGCCCTCTTGGGGCGGTGTGGGGGCCGCTTGGGCCATCTTGCGGGCCGTCTGGGGCCGTCTTGGGTGCATCGTGGGCCGTCATGGAGGCCATCTCGGCCGTGATGGGGGCCATCGCTGGGGCCCGCCTTGAGCGGGAGAGCCGACGGACTGTGCATGTTACTGTATTTCCCGTAGCTTTCTGGGCGGCCCGCGGGCTGGGCGGGAGCACAGTGGGCATTTTTCTGGAAAGGGCGAAAACAACCCCACGTCCAGCACGCCGTGCACCCCTGTGGCAAGCCAACCGGAGAGGCGGCGGATCGAGGACGCCGACCGGCGAATCACCGCCGCCCCCTTGCCTTTTGGAAACGCCCTTGCGGCCAAACGTTGGGCCAAAGTCTGGCCACGCACGCTATTGGACGATGTTTTCCCCCGTCCGTTGTGGACCCCATTGGGGGAACACCTGTGAGAGAAAGACTACGGAGGATGAGAGGAAGGAAAAGTAGGAGGAGGAGGAGGAGGAGGAGGAGAGAGAGGAGAACCGTCTTGTGGCTTCCTGGTGGGTTTCCTGTGAGCCTTTTCGGGGGCATATGAAAAGCCTCTCTGGGCAGTCATGGGTCGCTCTTTGGGCGCCTTGGGGCCGTTCGGGGAGGTCAACGGGGCCGTATTGGGGCCTCTTGGGCCGTCTTGGGGCCCCAATCAGGCCGTCTTGCAGGCCTCTTGGGGGCCGTCTTGGAGCGATGTGGGGGTTATGGGGTCACTTCGGGGTGGCGGGAGCTCGAAAAGGCAAGCACGCTAACATCGCTGAAACACCTTGGCTTCCTGGAGATCTTCTTGGAGCCCTCTTGGGGGCTCTTGGACCATCGTGGGTGTTTCTTGGGCCGTCTTAGGGACATCTTGGGGCTATCTTGAGCGTGTTCGGGGTCATCCCAGCCGTCTTGGAGACCATCATCGGGCCGTCTTGAGCGGGAGAACCGCAGGACTGGACAGTTTCCCCTATTTTCCGAGCATGCCCCCGGTTCGGTTCGGGTTCCTTGGGTGGCTTGCGGGCTGGGCTGGAGCACAGTGGGCAATTTTCTGGAAAGGGCTAAAACAACCCAACGTCCAGCACGCCGTGCACCCCTGTGGCATGCCAACCGGAGAGGCGGCGGATCGAAGACGCCGACGGCGAATCACCGCCGCCCCCTTGCCTT